AAAGCTTGCCGACCTCCAAATTGAAAAGCCCAAATTTCCATAATTTTGGTAAATACAATATTTGTAGGTTGTGATGAGATGAAGAAATTTACGAAGTTTCAGGTGGATGCTAATAATTTGATAAAAAGGGGTCTATACCACCGACTTGTTCAAATTGTTTTAAGCCATCGAAAATAAAAATCTGTACAGCTGTTGTCTCCTAATTCCTTTACATACTTTTAAAGTTGATTAAAACACTTTTTATAATATAATTTTGTTCATGTTTTGTGCCTAAATTGTTTCAAAACATTTAAAGGATCTCAGCGAATAGTTTGTGACATCGAACTAGTAAATCGGTCAGTCCGTTCGCTCAAAAAATCGTAACGTATCTTTTAGCGGATAACCAAATCACATAACCTTCCGTGTTCTAAGTTGGGTAAAAAGTAAGGATTTTTTCTTACTTTCGCTTAAATCATTTTTTTTTTATTTCTTACATTTTTATTAAGATCAGAAATATACTTAAAGATATTCCTGCCTCGATTTATAAAAACCTTTTCTTGCTTCATTTTAATTTATTTAAAAGATTTTATTCAAAGTACTGACGTAAGATGGAGCCGTTCTACATCAAGGTCAGTTAGGGAAACCTGATAGTACAATCGATTCCAAGGAAAGGAGAATCCTCTTACTACGTCATCGCAGTACAATACCAATATTGTTTTATTACGATACAATTTGACGGAATTTTTTTTATATAGCTCGCATTAATTCACCTGAAAGCCTCTACAATGCCTCATTAGAGAAGACAATGAATGCCTCATTAGTAGGCAAAAGACTACGCGAAAGGCCAAAAAGCAGATTAATTGATCCAACCAACAAAACTGAAATTGGCCTTCATTAGTGTTGCCCAAATGCGAGACCGAGACGAGTCTTGGTCATGGTCTTGGTCTTGCGCAAGACTCTAGCAACAGTCTTGCAGTTAATTATTAGCTTATTACTATAGGGATATTACTGTATCTTTTTAGATAGGAGAAACCTAACTAAGCCCAAATGAAAAATTAGACGAGTTGAATGCAAAAGTATATTAGTTATATCAATTATTAACATATAGTAACTAAGATTGTCAATTATTAGTAGCTTTTTAGAATTAATTTTTATTTAAAAAATCGATTTTTTTTACCAGTCCTGGTCTTGGTCTTGCAACAGTTAGGCGACCTTGGTCTTGGTCTCGCAAAGTGCAAGACCAAGACCTATTTTGGGCAACACTAGCCTACATGCAGATAACTGGAAAGAAATAGCCCAAGATAGGCAGAGGTGGAGAAGGCTGATTAAGGTTACATAACATCTACAATATCTATGATGTCAATAGAAAAAAAAACTTTAATTGCTAATACTTGATTTTTTTTTCTATTATTTACGATATTTACAACTGTATTAGAAATAAAAATACATTCAATAAATGTGAACACAAGAATATAATAATATGAAACCACTTGTTGAGAAACTACCCACAGATAGCACTCTAAAAAAGTATTTACAAAAGGAGATCTCGAAGAAGGCTAGGTATCTGGATTGGGCCAGATCAAAAACATAAAGAACATTAAGGTTTTTATGGATGATTTTGTTTGTGACAAAGTAATGAACATTGAGGATTTTACGAAGGATTTTGGATTGTAAGGATTCGATACAAGAGGAATTCGAAGGCTTAGTGGATCCCCAAAGCTCAACTCCGTAAGTCCAAATAGGTCTTATTCTGGTCATTTATATGAGTCTTTTGTAATCAACTGGAAGTTTTGAACGTTTGTCTAGTAAGTGCTGGAGTAGTTGGAAACGTCGAGCGGTTTCTTGTCGTTTCAGTCTGGTATGAGGATTTCAAGGTAAACGTTTGTCCAAGTGGAGTGCAAGGTATCGGATTCGTTCAACAGGGATTATTGGTGGGGAATTATTAAAGGATACTGTGGGACAGGAGGTCATAGGTTTACGGCGAAGAGTAAAGGTGATTTGATGGGATTTATTGGAATTTATTTTAATCGTCCAGTTTTGACACCATTCTTCAAAGTTTGTGAACTTGAAAAATTATAAACATTAAAATAAAAATATAGAATTGCAATAATAATTAATTATTTAAAACTAGTCGGCTTCCTTCAACTCAACTTAAAGATATAATAAACTTAAGTACATTCTGTCTATTACATATGTAAGGTTCATATCATCATATAGAAAGTTCCATGCATCTTTTTGTGTTTGAACAGTCTGATAGTGTATTAAAGTATTGCTAAAATCAGACTTAATTTTGTCACCCTCTCCTTTCCCCAATAAAAATCAACATGTTAAAGCCTTTATATATTATATAAAAAATTGTTTAGTGTATTTCATATTTTATTTTAGTATTAGGAGCGTAGAAGGTTACAGGAGCTCTCCTATTAGCTCTATAATTAGCATTTATTACTCAGCTGTCCATTTAATTACATATTAATGTTTTAATTAATGTTGAGCTCCTGTAAGCTCCTACTCTCCTAAAACAAATTAAAGATTTTAGACTAAAAATTTGTTCGGGAAGTGGTATTTATTCATCTGGTGGAGATTTTATTAAATATAAATTTTATTTTATCTAGCTGACAACAGTTACTTTACGATCTTGACATTTCCTCTTGACTACAATATATTAATAATTGTATTATTTATATCATATTATAATATCGTTATAATTATTATTAAATAATAATTATAATAATACTTTATTAATTCTGGGACGAGTTCCTTTAGAATAATACAGAAATGTAGGCTAAGGAGTCTCAGAGATACATAAACAAAAATGCAGAGTAATTAAATAGTGGTAATAAACCCTAATAAAACACCGTTATAGTTTCATAATAAAAGGTTACCCTCCTAATATATATATATATATATATATTATTAAATAATAAATAAATAAAGCGTAATATATAAATAAAGCAGCGAGGATATTAGACAGGGAGGAGACAGACGGACGAAGCAATAAGGTCAGGGAAGCCCGATACTCTCTCATCCTCTCTCTCTCCTCCCTCCCCTCCCCCTCCCATCGCTATCGATCTGCTAGATAAAGATCTACCACACTGTTCTCCGATTCAGCATCTTTCACACTTCTTATATTATACAATACATATAATTTTCAATTTTACTGTAAACCAAAACACACTAATTACATCATAAGTTTGTATGATGTATGTTTATATCCTGCGTTTATAACAGAGTGAACCCTAAGTAAAGAGAAAAATTTTAAGAAAAACGTTTATCCAATTTTGGCGAAAATGTTGCTGTAACATTCCATACATATAAAACCCTTAAATATGTAATTTTACTTTCGTACGCTTTTCGTTTTTGAGCTAGCCTGTTCACATACATACACACAGACATAATCACAAGAGACCAGTTTGCGCGACTTGGACTCACGGGATCTTGAATCATATAATTCCGTTGAAAGCTCAGATTCAAAGATTTTCACGATCGCAATACTTTTCCTTATTATGTATAGGTAAGTGTATGTAAAAATGAACCAATATGTCGACTCCTGTAATAAAGAAGAAGGTGAAACTTTTAAAATTCGAACTGGTTTTGCTGGAAAGAGATGAACTTGATGCTGGTGATAAGATGAACAACCTACATCGACTTCGAAATGGATCATAAAATTCTTGGATATGCGGATGATGTAGCTATGCAAGTTAACGTGAAAGTTTTGTGATGATCGCTAGGATATACTAGCGGATCCAGGATTTAATTTTGGGGGGATTCAGTCCGAAAGCTTTTTTTTTTTATAAAAATGACGATAATTACTTTTGAAAAAAAAGAAACTAACTATCTATATGAAATGGTGTTTAAGTGATTCCTTAAGTTCTTTTAAATGTAATTACACGAACAATAATATTTTATATTTATATAATATATTTTTCCATAAAACATGGTTATATTTTACCATTTTGAGAGGAGTCTTTAGCTTGAAAGCTCCTCCAATCTCCCGTAGATCCGCCCGTGGTAATGATGTAGTCATGCGTAAGAACTCAGTTCTGCAAAGCTCGTATTGAAGGGTGTGGGCGGGGTGGCCGAATGGGCTAACGCGTGTGCCCGGCAACCTGATATATGAATATGAGTTATAAAAATAGTCACGAGTTCGCGTCCCGGTGCCAAGGCGTCTTTTAAATCCCTACCCACATCCCCTGGTCCGGGAAAACCCCGTATAGCCTTAACGGCGAGGAAGGGGAGGATCCAAAAAAAAAAAGCTCGTATTGAAGGGCTTAAATAAATAAATACTAGCTATTCTGACTGACTTCACGATTGATGAAATAAAGCAAATGTTAACTGTAAAGTGAACAATTATTAAAATCAGTGTGTACAATTCAATAAACTGTATCGTTACTAAAACTGGTCCGATGTATAGTTTTGTCGAAAATTTGAAACCATTTTAAAAAATGTTACCACTACATAATATAGAGATATTACAGTAGTTTTCCAGAATGAAAAAAACCCTAGCTAAACTCTGAATGATATATTATAAGAGTTAAATGCATAAGTATATTGGTTCTACCATTTCTTTACATATACGTGGTACATACCCCTTTTTATATAATTATTAACATCCGCCTGAAACTTCGTAAATAGCTTCTTCTCGTCGTAACCTACAACTATTTCATTTACAATTTTTGTACATAGGTTACGATAAAATGAAGCTATTCACGAATTTTCAGGCGGATGTTAATAATTTGATAAAAAAGGGGTTTGTATCACGGATTAATATAGCAACTGAAATTGTCTAGTATTAGCCACTATTTTACCTTAATTTTTATTCAATAAAACGCTTTTGTATTTTACCTTTTTTGGTCTTGTCAACAATTAGGCGGTCCTGGTTTTGCAAGTGCAAGACAAAAACCGATTTTGGATAATCACCCCTGGTCTGGACTAAAGAATATATATGTTGTATGGAGTAATTAATATATGTTATTATACGATTTTTTTAATTATAATTAATATATGTATTATTTATTTGTCAGGTGCGGATTATGGAGCAGAGACTGGTGGAGGCGGAGTGGTCAGGAGAGGGTGGCAGTGAAGAGAGGGAAGAAGCCATTAGCAAACTCGCCTCGCAGGTCGAGCAGCAGGTAAAATATTATTAATGTTAATTATATTAATTAATATATTTATAATTTCTCATCTTTTTCGCTTACATAATATATATATATATATATATATGTAGCATACAAGAGGGGTTGTTCCTCAGGAAGAAACTCCCTCTCACTTATGCCAAATAGCAATGGTACGGATTCAATTTCGCCCAAATTTAAAGAAATATCAGGGAATAGAGTACAAATGAGATAGTATCAATTTCGTCAAATTCTATTACATTTATTTTCATTGATGCATATATGGTGTAAAAGAATTCCTTTCACTCAATGGTGCTAATTTCCTTAATTGTGGCGAAGTATAATATGACTTAATAAAAAATAAACAAAGGTGTGTGCTTGAGCCCGATTCAACCGACTTTCTCCGAGCGTTACACATCGGAGATCTGACGGCTCAATCCAATTGACTCTCCACAAAAAAACTGCTAAACGCCCCTAAAGAACTGTTCACTTCAAAAAGATTACAATACTTTCTTTACTACTTAGTAGTGGACGGAAAGTAAAAATAATCTGGTGCGCGCATCACACAACTTTCACTTGATACTGTTTTTGTAGCAGAAATAGGTATTTTCAGACGAAGGGAAATGAAAGTAAAAATTACAGGCGGCACAAAATGTAATTTAAAACAATAATTATATTTTTCACAGCCGTATAATGTATTATATTATATTGTTGTTTTTTTCATTGACCATTTCCTTTCGCGACTGTATAGTTTAATTATTTATCTGATTATGATAAATAATTGAGTGCTACGAAATATTTTTACTGAGTGCCACTGATAAAGAATACATATTTATATTTCTTTTTCGGTATTTTATTTTTTTTAAGCATTGCTATATATTAAAATTTTATTTTCTGTATTGCCGTGATCTTTAATATTAAATATTAAGTAATACAAACGCTAGCATTTACGAAAACCTCACATGTATATGTATGTAATATTATATTTTGAAATTTGAGCATTCATGAAGTGATATCAAAGAGAATAAGCCCTACTTTACGTTAAAAATCGCTTAATTTTACACTTATGTAATGAATGTTATCAAAATTGTTTGGGCCGTTTTCGAGAAAATTGTAACATTTATCATACTAAGTTGCAGTTATGGTCAGCCGATTTTAACGAAAACATTGTTGTATCATCCCAGGCATATACTAATCTGGAGAATACTATTTCAGTTTCGGATGACATTTTTTTTTTAGATAGATTATTCACATACACTTTTGCGAGACTTGGTTATTAAAGGATCTCAAAAGTTATTAGTATTAAAGAACCTCTAAACGTGTATTTCCGTTGAAACTCGGATTCGAAATTTTTTACGATCGCAATATTTTCTTACAGTATACATCATATATAGATAAGCGAAAGTAATAAATCAAAGAAGAAAAACATGTATTAAATTTTCTTCTGCATTCATTTAGTAAATCAGTGGCATTCTAAAAAAAATGTTTTGAAAGGTGATAAATAAAAATAAAGGAATAAATAACAGTATATTTTTTTTTCTTCAATTCTTCATCCGCACCTGTCATCCAGCTCCTTTTCAGTCGCCTCCTGATGAGCATTTCTGCCGTGGCCATGTCGTTGATAAGTCCATTGTGATGCCCGTGTAGTTTAAGACGAAATCGGGAGTAAAGAGTACGTATGTGCTGGTCAATGGTTGGTTGTCTTAGGTCGGTATGTAAAGTCTTGTTGTTGATGTACCAGAGGGCTGCAGTTATTAGTCTTAAAATTTTAGATTGAAAGGATTGTTGTTTTTGTAAGTGAGTATTTTTAGCTGAACCGTAAATCTGTGAGGCGTATGTTCAAATGGGTTTGAGCAAGTAAGTATTTAGTTTTTGTCTAATTTTCAATTTTGATTCAGAAAAAAGTGAGTATAGTATTTTCAGTCGCTTGTTCGAAGTCTTTCTTTTCATTTTGACGTGTGGACCCTTCTATCAAATATTAATCTGAGGTAGCGTAAATTGTCCGTCTGAGGAATTGGATTGTTGCTGATATAAACTGGTGGGCATGTCTCTCGCCGAAGCTTAAATGTTATGTGCTGTGATTTGTTATGATTTAATCTAATTTGCCAAAGTGAATACCAATTTTGTAATTTTAGTAAATGATTTAATTTAATGAGGCTAGTCTGGGGTCATGGTGTTTTGTTAAAATTTTCGTATCGTCAGCGTAAGTAGCAGTCAATGTTTCAGAGATGGTAGGCATGTCATATGTGACAGTATAAATTAAAAAATATATTTACATGTTCTTTTTACACAAAGTATAGTTGAAGTTAAGCTCTCATATCGACCTTAAATATTCTTTGTATATCAGCTGCAAGGGCCGCTGCCACCCTGATCAGCCATTGTCGTGACACTGCCTGAGTAATCGGTCGGAATTAATCAGCTGGGCCCAGGCGTTGTACACACATGGGGCCCCCTTCTGTCCTCCTCATAATTAATTCTCTGTATAATAATTAATTGCTTTGTCATTTTTAGTGAGGGGTAGAAATCAAGGTCATTTATCAATGTTTACCAAAAGTCTTAAAGTGTTTACTCATTTTAAAATATTTATTCGGAATACTTAGGGAACCAAAAAAAAAAAATCTCTTGTTATGTTGTTTTTCTTTACTGTGGTATCATGCAACACGATCTTGCAAATTATAATAAAATCTGACGAGGTGCGCGTATCACACAACTTTCACTTACCCCATCTTAGCAGAAATGAATATTTTCAGACAAAGGGGAAGTGAAAGTAAAAACTATAATCGCTATTATATTGATTTATATTTTATTGTGAGTATTTTTACTTGTTTAAGGGCGATATATATATACAAATTTTAATGATGTAGAGAGAGATAGTTGACCGTGATATAATATGAGAAGGAATAGGTCGGGGGGGTGAGGTCAGATAAATACTAAATTTATGAAAAATATTATTTTTAATTATGTCGACGTTTCGACCCACCTTGCAGGTCTTCTTCAGGGCGTGGCTTCATCTATCAACTGCCTCCTGCAGTGAAACATGCCACGCCCTGAAGAAGACCTGTAAGGTGGGTTGAAACGTCGGCGTAATTAAAAATACTCTTTTTTATAAATTTAGTATTTATTTGACCGCACCCCCCGACCAATTCGTTCTCATACAAATTTTAATATTTATATCCCTGTAAGCTATAAAATTAAATAATACCAACGAAAACATTTATGAAAACCGCATATGTATATGTACATAATATTGTCGTAGTCTGTTTTATGTTAAGCTCATGTTACGCTATGGTAGCCTGTTCTAATCTTCGGGCGCGCTCGTATTTCTTCATTACAACTATTCTCTGTTACAATTTCTTATTTCTCTAGAAATAAGAAATTGTAGTTAATTATCAAATTCTTTCATATTTTATATTTAACTTTTTTTTATATTAGAAATCAATGTGAAATGGTTAATACTTTCAAATAAAAAAAAATTAAAGGTACTTTAGAGGTAGCTAATATTGAAAATTAGCCTTTTAAGCCCTGTTAGAGAACATCAATGAGAATAAAACCTACATAATATCAAAAAACTGCTTAATTTTACACTAATATAATGAGTTTAATCAAAATCGTTGTTGCCGTTTTCGAAAAAATAGTAAAAATCAGTTTCATTGATAATATAAAGTGCCACTTCCGGTTAGTCGGTTTTGACGAAAAAGTTGTAATATTTAAGGTATATACAAACCTTAAATATGTAATTTCACTTTCATGCAACTTTTCGTTTTTGAGCTAGACCTGTCACATATATACAAACACACGTACACACAAATACACAGACCATTTTGTGGGACTTGGTTATTTGAACTCAGGAGACCTCAAAACATGTATTTCCGTTGAAAACTCAGATTCGAAGAAGTTCACGATCGCAATACTACCCCTTACTAATCTTTCATATAAAGGCAAGTGAAAGGAAAAAACGTAATGAATTATTGTATTTTTTATTTTACTTACTTAACAATTACTAATTGTTATAGTAAGATAAATTAAGTGAAAAAACAATATTTTTTAAATTGTTATAGCAATGTCTAAACCAAGCTCCAGGTACAGGCTCAGAAAGAGCAGCACACCAAGAACATCAAAACCTAAAAAATTAATAAAACTAGCTATTATAATAATTTTAAATCTCGACATAGAAACCCCATAAGATGTGGGCGTTTCAGTTATTTTAATCGTTGAAGAAAAACAAACCATTTCAAAAACATCAGAGTAGAGCATTTAGGGTTTCTTTTATATTTTAAGATTCTTTACCTCAAGGTAGTATCCTAGGTCCTATCCCTTACACAGTTTATACAACTGACATCTCAACACTGTCATTACCACCTATACCTATGACACGTGTATCCTATTAGTTAATAACGATCCATCTATTGCATCCTAAACTCTTCAATCACACATTACAAGTTTTGAAAAATGGTGTCAAAACTGCAGGATTAAAATAAACTCCAATAAATCCCATCAAATTACTTTACTCTTCGTCGTATGACTTCTTGCCCTACAAATCCTTTAACAATACCCCGCTTATCCAGACTGAAACGACTAGAAACCGCTAGATGTTTTCGACTACTGTAACACTTACTAGACAAACGCTCTAAACTTCCAACTATTTACAAAATACTCCTATATATTACTGTAATAAGGCCTATTTTGACCTACGGAATCGAGCTTTGAGGCTCTACTAAACCATCAAATTCCTCTTGTATCCAATCCTTACAATCCAAAATCCTTCGTAAAATCCTCAATGCACCTTACTTTGTCACAAATAAAATCATCCATAATGAACTTAATGTACCACATGATTCCGATTTAGCTCAATCCAGATACCTATCCTTCCATAATAAACTTCTGAACCATCCGAATCCTCTTGTTTCCAACCTTGCTTCCTCTTCTATTCCTGATAACCCTCCGAGGTGTCTGAAAAGAAGATGGCCTCGAGACCTTCTAATATAGAAATATAATTGTAGTGCTACCAATTGGTAGTT